AGCACATCTTCCAGTGGCTAGGGAGTCGGCCTTGCCAGCACCCACACGCCTTCCTTGTTTCCGGAACTCAGTCACTGACCGGCATGGTGTCACCTGGCCTCGGGCTCTCTGGGGCGCCCCGTGGGTGGGGGCACTCGGTGAAGGGTAAGGACCCTCGTTCCCTCAACTATCTGGTTTTGCCCTGAAGAAACTGCGAACTTCAGGGCACAGATTGCTGCTCTCACTTCTAATGCAGTGAGTTCCAGGAGGGGGCTGGGGTCGCTGCACGCACACAGGAGATTTCTGAGTAGGTTCTAGAAGCAGATAGTGAGGGTGCCTCCAAAATCAATGGTGAAGAAGGTCCTCTCACCAGAAACGGTCGGGAGTCCCTACTGTTACCAGCACCCCACGTGCACCTTTTACTTCCCCAAAGGGTTCTGTTGCCCACCATCCTCCCAGCATGGGCACACGTGTACACACGCTCACACACACAACTCACATGCCTTCACACTCACACACATTCACACACGTGCTCTCTCACACATTCGCCCCAGAACCGCTAACAAAGGCTGCAGGGAGCCGGGCCTCCTCCACTTTCCTGCAGCACAGGGAAGGTCGGGTGGGAGGACTGGCTACTCACGTGCGCGGGGAGAACCCGCGAGCCGGGGGCCTGGCCCCAGGCCAGCAGGGCCGGGCCTGTGACCTGACCGCCTCCTCTCCACCCCAGCGACGCCTTCCTGGAGGGCTACGTGCAGCAGTTCCTCTACACTTTCCGCTACTTCTGCACACCCCAGGACTTCCTGCACTTCCTCCTGGACCGCATCAACAGCACCCTGTCCAGGTACGGCCGCGGGCCCCGGGCCTCACAAGGGCAACACAGCCCCAGGGTGGACCCCATGGCGCCCCGTTAGTGACCATGAAGGGCGACAGAGTCCCCAGTGACCCTGATGAGGATGGGGGCAGAGCTGGGTGGGAGAAGGAAGAACGCGGACAGGGGACACGGGGCCCTGAGGGAAGGGAGGCAGCAGCGGCCGGAGGGGAGCGTGGCCAGAGGCAGGCCTTGGCTCGTGGAGGCCATGAGGATCGGGAAAGGCTGAGGGTGGGGGCAAGACAGGTAGCAAGGTGGCTGGGGGGAGTGCCACGCCCATCCGCTGGAGGGGGGCAGCCCAGGGGGAGGAGGGCCCTGCCAGCCCTCAGCCCGGGGCTGGGATCCTGGGATCAGGGGAGAGGCTAGAGGGACGTGGCACCGCCAGACTCCCCGTGCACTCCCTCCCTGGGGGCAGGGACTCACAGGAGAGACGTCGGCCTGTGGAGCCCAGCTCCCACCCCACCTCTTGCTCGAGTGTCTGCACGCTGCCTCCCAGACCCCAGGCGTGTCAGGCCCTGGCTGCAGAAGGTGACGGGTGCTCCAGGACTGGGCGCCAGGCAAGGGCGGAGGAAAGCCGCAGGTTCCTGCCCAGTCACCGAGCCTGTGGCCCAGCTGTGCAGCGACTGCCTCTCCTGTCCCCTAAGATGGGGTTGTGCAGAACCAGCCCTGGAAGACAGAGCCACGCTCAGACCCCACTCATGCCCCTGTGCTCGGCGGGGTGACTGCCGCCAGCCATCTGCCCAGTGCAGCAGACAGACCTGCCAGGGCCAGCCGGCAGCCCCCGCATGGCTCAGGCCCCCTCCCCTCTGCCTGCAGGGCCCACCAGGACCCCACCTCGATCTTCACCAAGATCTACAAGCGGAGCTTCTGCCTCCTGCAGGCCTGGCTGGAGGACTGCTACGCGGTGGACTTCATGCGGAACTCCGGGCTCCTGGGCAGGCTGGAGGACTTCATCTCCTCCAAGGTGACTGGGGGCAGAGCACCCAAGCAGCCCCTGCACCACCACGGGCCGCACTCGGGCGCTGAGAGCCGCCGCCCCTGTCTGGGGGGCAAGTGACCGCCTTGTGCTCCTGCCCAGATCCTGCCCCTGGACGGCTCCGCCGAGCACCTGCTGGGCCTCCTGGAGGTGGGCACCGACCGGCGGGCCGAGGGCTCCTCACGCGGCACCGACCTGGAGGACCCCAAGGAGGCCGAGGACGACGCCAGACCTCTCAATGCCCTCTGTAAGAGGCTCTCGGAAGACGGCATCTCCCGGAAGGTGGGGGCCTTTCCCAGGCAGGGCAGCTCCCCGCGCTCAGCCTGAGCTCAGAGAACACGGAGCAGGCGCGCACGCCCACGCACACGTGTGACCACGCACAGGCTCACCCATCTACGCATGCGCACACGCTCCCCTGGTTGCCGGTCCTCACCCGTCTACGCATGCGCACACGCTCCCCAGGTTGCCGGGCCTCACCCGTCTACGCATGCGCACACGCTCCCCAAGTTGCCAGTCCTAAGCACTGGCCCCAGGAGGTTGGCACTGCCCTCCCCTCCTCGCTCCGCGCAAGGCCGGGTGCTCAAATGACCTAACGTTCCTGACCCTCGGGCCAGAGGTCTGGGTGGAAGAAACCATTGTCAGGAAATGGCCTGGGATGGGGGCCGGGTCTGTGGGGATCTGTCCATGATGTGGGGGGACAGCCCCAAATCTCAGTGCCTCTGTCCCTGGGGGACCTGCTGAAGTGGCCGGGACAGGTGTCCTTGAGCCAGCAAGGCCCCAGCGGGAGGGGTTTGCTCTGTGGCTCTACCTGAGGCGGCCTGAAGGGTCCCGGACCCAGAGCCAGCCTGCTCCCCCTCCAGCGTCCCACCCCCAGAGGCTGCCCACAGGCAGGACGGGCTGTGCCGGCGGCCCTTCAGCACAGCCTGCCCTTGCTCTGCAGAGCTTCCCCTGGAGGCTGTCCCGGGGCAACGGGCTGGCCCTGCCGCACAAGGAGCGCCAGTACACCATCGCGTCGGCCCTGCCCAAGCCCTGCTTCTTCGAGGACTTCTATGGCCCCTATGCCAAGGCTAACGAGAAGGGGCCCTACTTCCTGACCGAGTACAGCACCCACCAGCTCTTCAGCCAGCTGACATTGCTGCAACAGGTGATGGGGGCCGCCGGCCAGCCCCGGGGGAGGGGGGATGGTGCCCCCGGGGCGGAGGGTTAGGGCCTGTGTGCAGCTCACCCGCAGGGGCGTCATGAGGAGGGATGCTCTGGTGCTACAGAGATGTTTGCAGGAGGGACGTGTGGAGGGCAGGGAATGGGGCCAGATGCACAGGTAGGGGCTGTGGGGAGGGCGCCCAGGAAGGGCTGCCGCGGGCAGACCACTCCCCTGCCGCCTGCCCCGTCGTCCCTACACTCCCACCTTGCAGGCACTAGAGGCGCCCTGCGGGCCTCCTCCTTCCTGGCTCCTCAGCTCCTCCCCAGCTCCGCCCCCAGGCGCCCCACCCTGTGACACCCCCTCCAACCCCCGCCATTCTGGGCCCTGTGTCACTTGGCAGGAGACAGCAGTGATGGTGACCCCAGTGATCCTACCTGGGGTCACGACAGCTGGGCAGAGAGAGGATCCCCTGAGACGCCGCCTGGCCCGCGAGGCCTGGGAAAGGACTGAGCGTCTGTGTCCTTATCTCCGACAGGAATTATTTCAGAAGTGCCATCCTGTCCACTTCCTCAACTCCCGGGCCCTGGGCGTCATGGACAAAAGTGTGGCCATCCCCAAGTGAGTGTTCACCTGTGGGGCGTCACCCCAGAGTCCTGGGACAGATGGCTGGTGGTGGGGTCTTGGGGGCCTCATCTGAGTGTCTCGTGGACACTCGTGACCACAGGGAGACACCGTTGTCGTGACCGGCCTCGGAGCCGGGCCCTCCCCTCTTCCCTGCGCCCATCCTGCAGCCCCCGTGGATCCGGAGAGACCCTGCAGCCCCAGGGCCGGGCAGGGCCACCTCCCCGTGTCCTCCTCGCCGTGATGTGCACCGCGTCCCTTCCAGAGCCGGCATGTCTGAGTCTCCGTCCGCCAAAGCCTGCACCTTGTTTCCGCCCGGCTACGTCCAGGACTCGTACCTGCTGCGGCTCCTGCGCCGCGCGGACGACGTCAGCACCTGGGTGGCGGCGGAAATCGTGACCAGCCACACCTCCAAGGTGGGTGCCTCGGCGGCAGCCCCTCAGAGGACGGTTGGGGCAGTGCTGCACCGGCACACGGTGCCTCCCGTGGAACCCAGTCGCATGCTCTCCAAGCGCCGGGAATCCACAGACCCGACCCCAGGCCAAGGGGGACGGTGGCGCCTCAGCTTCCGTTGCTGGTGACGCCGGACGCCGCCCGGCTGACCGCTGGGCGCCGGCGGCCACACCCTGGTCTCACGTGACTCTTCAGTCTGGCAAGTGCACGCTGGCTCTGGTCACCGTGACCAGCCTCTCCTGCATGGGACTTGCACACATGTGTGTGCACACACAGTCTCACACGTGTGTACTCCCTGATACACCCACGGTCTTCCACAGATACACCCCTCACACACATACCCTCACACACACTTCCTGACCGAGTACAGCTGACACACATACCCTCGTCTCACACGCACTCCTCCTCACACACACTCCTTCACGCTCCGACACTCACACACTTCCTCACACACGTTCCATCCCACACAGACACCCTCACTCTCACTCCCTCACGGTCCCCCTCACAGCCACACCTATACCCTCCTCACATGCTCCCTCACTCACATGCTCCGTCACACTCACACGTACTCTCTCTCACAAGGACCCTCTCTCGCACACACACATTCCCCCTCACACATATCCCCTCACAGTCACACATACGTACCGACCGTCACACCCCCACACACACTCCCTCACACTCACACTCACACAAACATCCCTCACACTCACACACGGGCTCCCTCTCTCACACACACAGTTGCTTTCAGGTTCATCCTCTCTGGCACACAGGGGCCTCCTGTTCCCACGTAGATCTCCTTCCGGGTTCCCTGACACACGCTCCGTCACACAGTCCCTGACACACGCACCCCCTCCCCCACACTCATACCTGCTCACACGGACCCTCCCACGCTCACGCTCACGCTCAGGCTTCAGTCAGAGCATCGCCCTTGGGGGCTCCGTCCACACTCCCGCACGAACCAGGTCCCAGGGCTGGGAATCGTGACTCCCAGGCATCCCACGAACCCAGACTCTCCAAGGGAGGGGACCCACTTGGTCACGGCGGCGTCCCCCGCAGGCGGCGCGGGGTGTGTTCTCGGCCTGTGACACTCAGGTCGGCCCCTTGAGGCCGAGCGCTTGCTGCTCCAGGGCCTCTTCTAGGCCTTGGGGCCGTGGCCCGGACGGAGGGTGTCTCAGCCGCGGCCGCTCACCTGCTTCAGGCCGGGTGCTGCGCAGGCCAAGGGGGACAGTCCCCTGCCTCAGAGCCGGCACCTTGCTCCAGGGTCCCGCCGCTCAGGAGGGCCAGGGGGACAGAGGGCCCCGGTCTCTGGTGCGCCTGCGCCTCTGGCCCACCAACGCCCTGTCGCCGAGGCCTCCAGCTTCCTGCCGCCCGAAGCCGGCGGCAGACGCGCGTCCCTGGAGTCCCGCCCAGTGACGCGGCACATGGGGAGGGACGCCGGGACCACTCGGGCTCCTCCTGTGAAACAGAAGCCCCTTCCCACGGGGGCCCCACCACTCCGAGGGCAGTGGCGGCCACACGCAGACCCTGGCCCCAGTACCGGGTCCCCTCAAGCACGATCCCCACCAGCGCTGGCCCTGGGCAGAGCGTCGGGGGGACACTGAGGGGTGGGGGTGCTGCTGTTCCGCCCCAGCTGCCCCCAGCCCTGGGAGGCCGTCCCTCCTCATCGGACAGCAGAGCGCAGGTGAGTCTGTTCCGGTGTCACCGGCCTCTGCGGCTGGTCTTGCTTTTTCCAACGTCCCTGCGTGTCGCTCACCCCGACGCGCGACCCATTAGCACGCGCAGCGCTTCTGCTTTGCCCTCCGCGGGGAGTTTCCAAGCTTTAGGGGTTTGTCGGCCGCAGACTGACCCATCCTCGTTTGTGCCGGGATGCGGCGAGAGCTTAACGACTTAGCGGTGTCCCGAGCGGTGTCAGGACGTAGCTTCCCGAAATCAGGGCTGCGGACGGGCCGTCTACGGTCCCTCCCGACCTCTGCTTCCCAGGGGGTCCTCCTCCGCCAGAGCCCCAGAAAGAGGGAGGATGGGTCCCCTCCCAGCCCGAAGGAGAAGCTGGGCTCTGTGTCCCGAGCCTGCAGGCGCCCTGCCCAGTGGGGCAGCACGGAGCGCGGACACATGCGCTGGCCCGCGCGCTCGACGGGGCCGTCGACGGATGCACACCTGGTCGCGGGCACCCAGCTTACAAGGGCAGGAGGGACTCGTGGGGTCGCGGGGGCAGAACTCCACCCGCTGCCGTGAAAGGCTTCCCGCATCCCCGTAAGCAAGGACAGGACGACAGACGAGCGGCCCGCAGCCCTTCCACAGACCTGCTGGCCGCCTGCTGGCCGCCGTCTCCCGGGCTGTGTGCCCCTTCCTGTGACGTCACAACCGTCCCCCCCCCTTACTGTGACGTCACAACCGTCCAGAAGACTGACTTTTGCATTTGTGAACTGGGGTCAAGAAAAGAGCTAAAATTCAAATTTTGAGCCGGAGACTGCGACGGGGCCGTCATCAGACGTCCCTGGTGGCCGCCATGCTGTCCGTGCACGCGACGCAGCGCAGAGAGACAAGGTGAAGAAGGAAAACGCTGAAGCTCGTCGCCCTAAAGCAGAGCTCGCGGACTCTTTTTTTAGATGAAAAATGGTGGGTTTCAGTCTCATCAGACAGTCTTACATGTGCTAGAACACGGCTGCCAAAGATGTCCGTCCACGGGCAAATGAGTGAACAAGACGGGTCTGTCCGTCCTGCGGACTCAAGCCCCGCCTCAACAAGGAGTGAAGTCCTGACACAGGCTAGAGCCTGCGTGAGCCTGGGGGACAGGACGGGGGGGCGGCCAGTCACAGGAAGACACACGCCGCGTGGCTCCAGCCTAGGAGGCCCCTGGGGCAGCTGAAATCACACCCCGGAACGTGGAAGGCTGGGGCCGGGGCAGGGGCGAGGGAGGGGGAGCAGGGCTCGGACGGTCGCCATCGCAGGTTTACAAAGGGGAGAGACGCAGGCTGTGGCACGAGCAGGCGCGTAGCTGACACCGCTGAGCTGTCTGAAAAATGGCTCAAGAGCAGATTTTATATTATGCATTTTTACCACATTTAAGAAAAAATGATGTGATGGAACAGTTTTCTCTGAAAGTGCTGGAGAGTATATTTTGCATCTATTTAAATATATGAAGAAGAAATTGGGATGTCAACTTAAAAAGTATAAGCCAGTAAATGTCGTTCGAGATCCTTTAAGAGCCTGGTAAGCTGGTCAGCCGGGAGGCCACCATAGGGAGCGAGGGGCCGTCTGTGCGACCACACAGGCAAGGCCCTGCCCGGGAAGGGGAAGAGGCGTGTGGTTGGGACCCACAGACAATGTCCCCACCTGAAGGCTGGTCCCGGCCCTGGTGGCAGTTCGTGAGCAGCTCTGAAAGGGCTGAAATGCGCCCCATTAGGAATGAGAACCCCGTGGGGTGTTCCCGCCAGATCTGCTGACTGGCCAAGCACAGAGGAGCGGGGAGTGGGGGGACCCGCGGAAATGAAGCCACGCCACGCCCACCCCCGTCAGGCTCTGGAACCCCCCGAGGGGTGGGTCCCCCCCCCGCAGAAAATGAGAGGAAGCTGCTGGCTGGCCCCCCTTGGGCCCCTCGATGCACCCGCACTAGGTGCACCCTTCCGACCCCGAAGCTGTGCCCCTCCCCCGCATCTGTCCCTCTGCTGGAGCAGAGGTTTGTCCTGGGAGTGACCGTGCCCTCGAGCAGTGAGGGTGACTTTTTTTCACATCTTTGTGCTTTCGAGTCAAGCCTGTCTTCCTGCACCTCCCGGCGACCCCTCTCGCCGGCCTGCTTCTCCCACGGGGCGCCCCTCGCTGCCCCGGGTGCCCGGCGCTGGGTCACTCTGCCGGGTCCCCGGGCTGTCTACCTGCTTGTGTCCCGCGGGAGGACCCTGAGTGTGTCCTCTGGTTACAGCTGCAGGTGAATTTGCTGTCCAAGTTTTTGCTGATTGCGAAGTCTTGCTACGAGCAGAGGAACTTTGCGACAGCCATGCAGATCTTGGGAGGCCTGGAGCACCTGGCCGTGAGGCAGTCCCCTGTGAGTCACCCCGCAGAGCCACGGGCTGCAGGCAGGCACGTGGGCACCACGTGGCTGTGGGGGGCTCACCCGTGCTTTTATTTCAGGCCTGGAGAATTCTACCCGCAAAGATAGCGGAGGTCATGGAAGAGCTGAAAGCCGTGGAGGTACGGGCACCGTGTGCGCGCTTCTGGTGGCCTGGGTCCCCAGGGGGCTCCCCTACGGACAATCTCTGCACATCTCTGGGGGGTCACCAGGCATAGCCTGCTTCGTGGCCCCACGCCATCCCCGTCCCGCGTTGGCCTGGTCTTGCCCGTCTCCCCGCGGGGCAAAGACTGCAGGTACAGATGCCCAGAGGACCAGACGGAGCTTGGCTGACCCGCTGGCCTCCTTGCTTCTCTCAAAGTGCAGAGGCAGCCTCCCGAGATCTCAAGCCAGGAGACGCTGGAAGGCTGGGCATTTCCCCAGAGGAGGCCCTAGGAGCCGACCGCCGCCCCAAACACCGCTCTCTGCAGGGTGGGAGGGCCACGTGTGTCCTCAGTTGACACCAGAAACAGGTCCCTAAAGTCAGGCAGCCTGGGTCACGGCCTCCTTGGGGCAGCTGGGTCACCCGGCTATTTTCTGGAATCCAGAGAGAGTAAGTTAGGAAACAAGTTTGCCATTTCTGAGGGTGGGAAGTGTGTGGCTTTCTCATGGGCGTCCACGTTCCCTTGGTATCTGCCAGCTTCAGGCGTCCGGACTTCCGACCCGGACCCCATCGTCCGAGGTCCGGTGTGGATGGGATGTACATCAGGGCTGTGTCGTCTCCTTGCGGGGGCAATCCCAGTGCCAACTGGGGTTGCCTGAGCTGAGCGCCCCAGACTGACCTCTCCCCCCTCTCCCCTGCCCACGCCCCTGGCTGGGCCCCCAGGTCTTCCTGAAGAGCGACAGCCTGTGTTTGATGGAAGGACGGCGCTTCCGGGCACAGCCCACGCTGCCCTCAGCCCGCCTCCTGGCCATGCACGTCCAGCAGCTGGAGACAGGGGGCTTCACCATGACCAACGGCGCCCACCGGTGGAGCAAGCTCAGGTGAGGGGGCTCTGCTCCCAGCAGCCCCACAGGGCCCTCGCGCCGTCTGCACAGCAGCCGTGGCCAGTCCTCTGCCCGGTCCGGTGGTGCCACAGTTCCCCTGCCTGGCACCCCTGGGGGCCCAGGACACCTGGGAGGTGCAGACTGGGGGCTGCTCGTGAAAACCACCATGGCGACCCCAGACAAAGAGGGTCATGCTCATCTCTGCCTCGGAAACCACAAGCTGCCTCCAGCCCTCCTCTCCTGGGGGTCCCAGGCCTCAGTGGAGATGCCCCCCCATATCTCACAGGCCTGGGCCAGCCTCTCTCCTGGGCACCCCCACAGCCTTGGACACACCTGTTCTTCCACCCCCTGCGTCACCCACGCACGCAGACAGGTGAGGCCGGGCAGGCCACGGTCCGGCTGAACACCCCTTAGGGTCAGGGCAGACCTCAGGAGGCACAGCCCAAGGGACCTGGAGCCCAGAGGTTCCGACCTCCTTCTGGTCACCAACTCAATTTTTTAGGAGACAACACAGAGCACACTAGTCCGTGTTAGCAAAATGGAAACTAACAATCGGAGGGAAGGCCACGACCCAGAAGGAGCAAGGGCAGAGGCCCACTGCCGACTCTTTACTCTGTTTTAGGTCTGGATGTATATTCATGTCTGTCTGTATTTATCTGATGGAGAGAGAGATGGGTGGTGGGGAGGGGCAGAGAGAGAGAGAATCCCGCGCAGGCGCCATGCCCAGCGCAGAGCCCCATGCGGGGCTCAATCTCAGGACCTGGATGGAGATCGTGACCTGAGCTGAAATCAAGAGTCGGACACATCGCTGACTGAGCCACCCAGGTGCCCCGCATGTTTGCCTTTTAATGGCCAAAGTGCCGTCCTTCATACGGGAGGTGCAGTCTCTTTATCCACAGTCAGGGTGAGACTATCTGTCTGCACAGTCCACGGCCTCCCCGGGGCAGGATTACCGACTTCTGCTTCGTGATCCCAGTTTTCCTGGATGACGCCCGAGGGTGTGCTGGTCACAGTCCCCTTCCAGCTCTCCGGGCAAGCAAGCCCCAGCTCACAGCCTTGGCCAGTGCCCTGGGTGTAAATGCTTGGGTGATGGTGGCTCTTGATGTCCCTGAACACGGAGCTGGGGAGAAACACGAGCCCAGGGACCCCTAAGCACATCCTAACTGACCCTGCGTCTGTCTGGCTCCTCTCCTCCGTCGGAGCCCAGGGGCTGACACCGGGGTGTGTTCCCGTCAGAACCCTTAGCACCAACAGGCCCAGCGCAGCTTTTCCGTACATGTTTATGGACTGAACAGTGGCTGCCTGGACCGACGGCCAGAAGGATGAACAGAGGGTGGACGGGGGTGCAGGCGGGCAGACAGGCCCGAGTACTGAAATGAGGTTGGGCCCTGGGAATAAACACAGAAAACTCAGCCCAGAGTTTGTACTGGAAGAGGCATGGGTTGGATACTCCTGGGACACGCTGGGAACTGACCAGCACAGGCTCGTGCAGACTGACGGACACTCACTTCTTCTCCCTACACAGAAACATAGCCAAGGTGGTGAGCCAGGTGCAGGCGTTCCAGGAGAACCCCTACACGTTCGCGCCCGACCCCAAGCTGCAGTCCTACCTCAAGCAAAGAATCGCACGCTTCAGTGGGGCTGACATTTCCATTTTAGCCGCAGACAACAGAGCCTCCTTCCACCAGATCACCAACGAAAAGCACTCCCGGAAAATCCAGGACAAGTTACGGAGAATGAAGGCCACGTTTCAATAACGGGGACAGCGGGTCTGGTGTGAAATTTCAAAGCGAGGACCGGCCTGGGTAGAAAAGAGGCACCTGCTTCCTGTCCCAGGCCCAGAAGGCCCCAGCAGCGCAGCTCCTGCCGCCATAGACTAGGGAGCCTGACAGCGCGGCGCAGGAGCTGGGGCTCAGCGTGGGCGGCAGGGTGCATGCCGGGGGGCACCGGGAGGCAGAGGCTCAAGGGCCCGGCTGAGCCGGAGAGGACGGGCTCCAGTGCAGGTCGGGGTGTCTCTGCTAGTGTAAAACTCTATTTAAAAATTAAACAGAAATAGAATAAGTGAACTCCCCAGGAGCCACATACCCATTCACACTTCTTAACTATAAACGCGCTCTCACCCAACTCTCCAGGGATCCTGCCCCCCAAAACTCCACACCCACCCACCCTGACTCAGAGCACTGTTCTCACGAGTCTGGCTTATGTCTGCTCAGCAACCAAGGACCAAAATGACCTCTGACCCCCATGCCAACCACAGGGCTCCAGGGGTTTCCAAAACCTTCCAGTGGGGCCCTGAGGCTTCTCAGTGGCCCAAGTGCCAACCTGGATCCACATTCCTATTCCCATGCCCAGACCTACCCCCAACACTCCAACCTCCCCCTCCCTTCCACTCAGACCCTCCCAAACTCCCCCCACCCTCTCTCAAACCTTTCTGCATACCCCAGACTTCCCCTCCTCACACCCCAGACTTCCCCGACCCCTCCTTCCAGACCACTCTAGGGGCCCAGCTCAGCTCTTCCCCATGCCAGCCCGCATGGGGGTACCTGGGTTTTGCCGACCCTGTCCCAGCAGGCCTGATGGGGTCTTGTCCTGACCCAGCCTCTGGCTGCTGGCGAGCCTGTCCCAGCTCCACGCCGGCAGTCCCCCAGTGCCCGTGGCCCTGCGCACCCTCCAGCCTTGCCAACCCCCGCCACTTAGAACGGCTCCAGGTACGGCCTGCCAGGCTCTGCTTCCTAGCCAAGCACACGGGACACAGACTCGGGCCTCAGGGGCCCTGTGAGCACCCCTAGTGCCACCCAGTGGCCTGGGGGCTCAGGCCTAAGGCCCACGCCATCTGCCTCAGCAGCCACGCATGCCCCGCGCCCAGGCTCTGCTCACCTTCACCCCGCTTTGTTGGCACGGCGGCGGCAATGACGTTTGCCGCTTGGATGGTACCAGGCTCCTCCCCCAGGGCTCCGTTCCCCAGCGGCCGGCGTTGGGTGTCTGTCTGCTCAGCAGGTGAAAGGCGCCCTTGGCCAGGGGCACCAGGGCCAGGACGGTGTGACGGATGGTGCGGAGGATGGTGCGGTTGCATCCATCGCGCCCGGGAGCTCAGACCCCGGGCACCCACCCCGGGCACCAATGCTGTCATGTCGCAAACTGCTGGGAGACCCCAGGGGGCTCTCTGGTTTCGGAGTCACGGATTCTCTGGAACACGCAGCTGGGGGTGTTTCTGGAAGTCTGCTCCTGGTGCTCGAACACCGAGTCTGTCACCTCCAGCCGCCTCCCAGAGATCGTCCAGAACAGGGGAGGGACCGTGCTCCGGCCGTGCAGACGGGCTTTGGCCTTCGTGCGACGTCCGGGGTCGTCCTGAACAACACCTACGTTCTCAGACGCAGACCTGCACACAGGTAGTGTCACTGAGCCGGAAACTGAGTCAGCGTCTGGCACAAACGAACATTCCAGTCCTAACGATTCCTTCAGGGGGACGTGACCGGGCTTTCAGCTTAAGCACGACCGTCTGCATGTCGCCCGAATGTCACCGGCACAGATTTCTAAATAAAATAATTTCTACCGATGGCTTCCGTGGGCCTTATTTTGTCTGTCTCCAAAGTGAGCCTTGCTTTTGGGGTCAGGGTGGGCTCCTTCGTGGCCAAAGACAACTCCAGGGGTGCTCACGAAGGCACAAGGGGACGAGAAGTCCCAGCCACAGCCGCGTCCTTGGGTGGCACAGACAAGGGCCAGATCTGCTTATTCACCGAATTCAGGGCCCGCCACAATCAAACCCGGAGCTCCCAGGCCTGTGACAGCAAGCTGCGGGAAACGTCACCTGCAAACCACCCGAAGCAGCTGAGCCACTAAGGCCTCATGGCACACAGTCCCAGAGCTGCTCTGCCACAGACTCTGCCCAGCCCCAACCAGTTCCCATGTGGCATGCCCCACGCTGCCGCAGGCGACCAACCTCACCCAGAGCCTAAGGGCAGGACAGCCTGCCCCCTCCCTCCCCAGGGCGAGGCAGGGCTGTTCCCCCGAGGCCCACACTGTGAAGGGTCCACACAGACAAGCTCGGGACCGGGGGGCACTGCAAAAGGAGGGCTGGGAGGCCAGGGGTTCAAAGAATTTGGGGACTTAAATGGCCGATGTGTCCTGTGGCAGAAACATCTGGGGATGTCCCTGTAGTGAGTGATGAAGTCCTCCGTGTGGCAGGGCAGTCCCCGCAGAGTAAAATCACTTCGCAGTAGCGGCCTCCGTTACGTGGTTCTGGCGTCCCCGTTGTGGGCAGGTGGGTGGTTTCGGTCCTCACCCACCTTCAGGTCACGGAACCCAGGTGTCTCTTCCTTCCTGGGACGTGAGGAAGGCCGCGCAGACCAGGGTCTCCCTCCACTTCACTGGTCTAATCAAATCAATGGGTTTTCCTTTAGGTGAATTGACAGCTCGTGACCCCTTAGGACCCCAACGAGGCATGCTTGCCAGGTCCCACCACCATGTCGGCCCTCCTACTCCAGATGGAGGCTGGCTCAGTGCACCGATGCTCTGGGGGCAGCCCCCACTATGCGCGACGTCTGACCACCCCCAAGACTGCCACGCTGTGCAAGCCCAAGGTAACCCTACTGAGCTGAGTGGAGATGGAGAGAAGTATGTGGCCGGCCCAAGAGCCGCCTTCTAGAGAAAGCCTGTGGAGCCCCAGGCCCTGGCCCGGGAAACGGCACCCAGTCAGGAGGGAACGCCCAGCAGCGCGCCTGCGCCTGGGTCCCAGCTCTCAGCACAGAACCAGCAGCTTAACCGCACGGCACCCAGCTCACTCCGTGCTAACCCTCAGTCGTCCACTGTGAGCTGTGGGGTGCATGAGCTCTCTGCTCCCGGACGGGCTTCTGGTCCGTGTAAGGGGACCCCGTCCGCAGACTGGCCGGCCAGGGCGCCCCTGCAGACGGGCGGTTTGGGGTCGCTTCCTTCAGCTGCTGCTGCTGTTTGCAGCCCGCTCAACGGGAGTGGGGGTTCTTGGGGGCACACGGTGCCAGGGGCTGCTCCATCTCTTTATCCACCTGCCAACCCTTTGGGGGGCCGACCTACGCCACCATGGGAAACAGCAGTTTGAAAGGAAAGGGTGTGGCCAAAGACCACAAAGGACCACGCTCCCGCCAGTGGACTAACTTCTCGCTGGAGTCCGGATGAGCAATCCCAAAGCTCCCAGGCCTACACACAAGGGCTCATCAGTAAGTAAGTACATCGTAGATGAGGTTGCCAGCCTCCTGCTGTTGGAGAAGGAGCACCTCTGGTGTGTATCCCCAGATGCCAGCAGCACCCCCAAGTCGTGTCAACTAATGTCTCCGCACCTGCCCAAATAGACACCGGGGGGAACTATTCCCCCCAAGAACCAGTGGCCTGGAAGCAGTGACATCCCCAGAAGCATCAGGCACACCTTGTATCCAGATCTTGGATTGCAGATCCTATTTTCCAAAAAAAAGGAACCAGAGATTTTTTTTTTTTAAAGATTTTATTTCTTTATTTGACAGACAGAGATCACAAGTAGGCAGAGAGGCAGGCAGAGAGAGAGGGGGAAGCAGGCTCCCTGCTGAGCAGAGAGCCCGATGCGGGGCTTGAACCCAGGACCTGGGACCATGACCTGAGCCGAAGGCAGCAGCTTAACCCACTGAGCCACCCAGGCGCCCCGGAACCAGAGATTTTTGGAGAAATGGTGAAATGGCTGATTCTAGGGCTGGAGTGGAAAAAGTCCAAGATGAATGGAAGAATCTCGTAGTGCCACAAAGCAAAGATGTGCCAGGGGCAGGGGGTAGAGCATGTCAAAAGGACAAGGACAGGGGTGCCTGGGTGGCTCAGTCATTAAGCATCTGTCTTTGACTCAGGCCATGATCCCAGGATCCCGGGATTGAGCCCCGCATCAGGCTCCCTGCTCCAGTGGTGGGAAGCCTGCTTCTCCCTCTCTCGCTGTCTCTCTCTCTCTCTCAAATAAATAAATTAAATCTTTTTAAAAAATCTTTAAATTTTAAAAATTTTTAATTTTAAATTTTTTAATTTTTAAATTTAAATTAATTTAATTTAAATTTTTAAAATTTTTAAATTTTTAAATTTTAAAATAAATTAAATCTTTAAAAAAAAAGGACACAAAACAAGAGGGAAAAGGGAAAAGAGCTGGGGTGATCTGAGCCCCTAACGCGACAGCGCGGGACTGCCCCCGGGGACAGAATACCCGGGAGTCCCCTGAACAGGAAGAATTACAGGAGATTCCTGAACAACACATGTACGTGTCCCCGGGAAGTGCGGCCTGGTGACCCTGGGGGTGGGGCGCCCCTGGTGACTGGCCCCAGCTGCAGGGCAGGAGGGGGAAGCGGAGAGACAGGCACTGCTTGGACTCCTAGGTCTTCTTCCCAAAAGCCCATACCCGCAGGCTAATCATGAGAAGGCACCTGACAAACCCAACAAGAGGGACACCCACAAAGCACCTAACAGTGTCCTGGAAGTGTCAAGAACGCGGAAGAAGCGTGAGCTGCTGCCAGGGTCCGGAGGGGACAAAGGAGGCAGGACGACCAAACGCAGAGCAGTCCCCAAGACCGGGTCCAGGGCAGGAAGGACATGTCTGTGCAAAACCTGGGGAACCCTGGAAAAACCCAAATGCAGTCTGCGGCTCGGCCGATGGTGCCATGCCCACGAGCTTCTCAGTTGACAAAGGTGCCCTGGTCCCAGGGGACGCTCATCGGAAAGGACGCACAGGGACGCCAGCCCCTCCTCTGCCACCTGTAAATCTAAAATTGTCCCAGAC